CAAATTACATGATCTTACACATTGAATCTAGTGAATAAAATAAGACCAGAGGCATGGATACATGGAACTGACAGATGACAGAGGGGAGTGAGGTAGGGGGGACTGGAAGGGATTAAACAAAGAACATATATGCATATATGCATAACACATGAAAACAATAATGTGGTAAAGACCTGGGGTGGGGCTTGGTGGAGGGGGTAAAGGGAGGAATGAATGGGGAACATCTATAATACTGTTAACAATAAATAAATAAATACAAAAAAAAAAAACAAAAAACACAATGAGATACCATCTCACACATTAAGATGACTATTATAAAAACAAAATTTAAAAAAATAAAAAGTGTTGGCAATATGTGAGAGATTTGGAACCTTTGTGCACTATTGGTGGGAAGGTAAAATTGTGCAGCTACTATGTAAAACAGGACAGTGGTTCCTCAAAAAATTAAACATATAATTATCATATGATCCAGCAACTCCATTTCTGGGTATATGCTCCAAAGTACTGAAAACATAATTTCAGAGAGATATTTGTACACCGATGTTCATCACAGCTTTATTCACAATAGTCTCATGGTAGAATGCATCCAAATGCCCAACACTGGATGAATGGATAAACAAAAAATGATATACACCTACAATTAAATATTACTTAGCCTTAAAAAGGAATGAAAGTCTGACATAAGCTATAACACTGATAAACCTTGAGAACATTATGTTAAGTAAAATAAGCCAGTATGTGTCACCAAAAGACACATACTCTAGGTTTTCACTTGTGTGAAATACTGAGAGTAGTCAAATTCAGAGATGGACAGGAGAATGGTGGTTCCCAGGGGCTGAGTGGGGAGGGAAATAGGGAGTTAGCAGTTCAATGGTACAGAGTTTCTGTTGGAGAAGATGAACATTTTCTAGAGCTGGATGGTAGTGATGATTGCACAGCGAGGTGAAGTTGCTTAATGTCACAGAACTATATGCTTAAAAATGGTTAAAATAGTCAATTGCATATATTTTTAAACACAATAAAAAATAAATAGCTATATGTGTCTAGTGGCTACTCTACTGGACATCATAGGTCTAAATGAGCCACAGTCATCTGAATAATGTGAATTGGGCACAGAAACAAGAAACAAATGGCCAGTAGAAAAAATCTATCTACTTAGCTAGCTAGCCATCCATCTATGCATATCAGGCCCAGAAAAGACAGATCATAAATTTGAGTCTTCCTGGAAGGCAATATTAATAAAGGGAATATCCCCATTGGTTGGAACTCTGTCTCAAAACGTGGCTTATGCCCTTTTGTTTTCTATCATTTTGACTTACATGTGTAAATCAGACCAGATTCTCTATTTTGGGTGTTTTAAAAGGTGCTCTGGGCAATCTTGTGGCCTTAAAGACAGAAGCCATCATGTTGTTCCATCTGGAACATATATTTTTGTCTTCTTGGAAAGAATATCAAGGCTTAGAATTGGGACCACTGTATAGATCTGTATAACTTTCTGTCTCTTGGTAATAGGTAATACTTATACAAGGGTCAATATTTGGGAGCCTTCCCAGGAAGTAGTAAATACAAAAAAAAAAAAAAAAAAACAGAGAAAGTCATAAAAACTACTACTATATCACTGTCATCTACCATTGACCACAATTCATATTTATTTCATGAAAAGGCAATGGGTATGAACATGAAAAAAATCAATGTATGAGTCCTTTCTGAATTTCTCTACTCAATACCTCAAATTCTTAAATTTGGAGTTAATCCAAATTCAAAAGATTTATTTGCTATAACATTCTCAAAACCTCTAGCCTGTCAATATATAATGTGACTTTCCAATAATGAGGATAGAGTATGTAAGGAGTGTATTTGCAAATGCACTGAATCATAGAAATTTTTTTTCAGAACCAGGCTTCCCAAAAACATGTTTGGGAAATATCACTTTCACTGAAGAGCTGAAGCAGTATGAAGACAATACAGAAAAGTTTAATGAGTCCGGGGATTAATGAGGAGTTGAACATGACTGCAGGAATGTGAGTTGAACTATTTAAGAAAGTAACATTTATTTTATGGCCTTGAAGTTGAAGTCCAAACTTGTACAAAAGTGATGAAGAAGGGTAAGGGTCAGTAAGTGTAGACCTTAGATAGTAAGCTCAAGATTTTTATTTTATTCTATGAAAAGAGGAGTTCATGAACGTTTTGTTGTAAAGGAGTTGAATGAATGCCCTTTAATGGCCAGATGTGGTATGGAATAAACTGATAAGAGTAAGGAATTAGAACTGAAAGATCAGTCAGGTGATGCCTAGGCTTAGGTACTGAGTGCCCGAACTAAGTCAGGAGAGGAATTTGAGAAGAGCGGAGGTGATTACATGATTTTTAGTCTTGTACTCAGGATTTGACAGGTGGATGTACCCTAAAAATATTATGTTATCCTGAACCCTATTCCTTTCAAAATCAGAATTTATGGTTAATCTCAAAAGACAGCTGTGTCCCTTGCTATACAGTTAAATGTGAGTTTGTTTCCTGAGCTGTTGCCTTCTCCACATCTCTTGTTATTGGAGCACGAGACTAGCACATGCTATTTCTTCTCCAAAATGACATGAGTATGGATTCACCCCATGCATTGCAGTGCTTCTGCCATTCGCCTGTGAGCTAGAAGTTAAGAACCAAACAGGAAAAAGACATGAGGCATAATCAGTTTTATCCTCCATGAAGAAGTTATTACACAAATAATGAGGCAGAACCTCTTCAACTTTAATAATAATGGGGTGGATATCATTGGGATTACTGAATCAAATTAATAAATCAGCTACTGATAAGAATAAAATAACAACATACTAAAGGCAAGGGTATTTTTTGCATCTGAATGCCCTTTAAACATACAATTTCAGCAGAGTAGTCAAGTTTTAGTTCCTTTAAATAAGACATAATAGTGTATGGGAGTTATTAGAGGTATAGAGCTGAAATCATTCCTCCTTGAAGTGGAAAATGCAAGGACGATAATGATAATGCAGATGATCGAGTGCAGTGAACTTAGGGGAGAGGCCACCAAAAAGTCTCAAGTCAGCTACCTCTTTGTTAAGGGGGAGGCCTTGCAGATGGAGGCAGCGGCCAAACCTCAGCTTTAAGTGTTCCATTTCCAATTCACATTGTCGTCTTTTCTCTGGTCATTAATTACTATTGTGCTCCTCCCTTTGCCCTCACAAATGGGCACAAAACTGCTCATTAGGCAGGGGGAAAAATGATCGCCAGTAGCATTCTAGACATTTCATTATTCAAATCAGCATAAAATGATTACATGAAATCCCTGGGAAATTGAAGTGGCCTTCTTTTTACTTTTAAAACCCTACTTTGACTAATAGAAAGTCTATCTTATTTAACATCTAACAAGACCTCCTCAAACCTCTCTTCCTTGACCACGATTATATATAATGCACACATTGTCACTAGCAACATGACTAGACTCATTATTCACTCTAACCTAATGAGAATATTTGTTCGAGTGATGTTATTAATAGATTGCATAATACCCATCAGATAAAGTACTAATACAATGTTGAAAGCAAGCAAATTAAGTCATCATCAGCCTTAAAAAACAATGACTGAAGCTGCCATGGTAGTATAATTTGTAGAAAATTAAAGCTTAAATAATAGCTCAGACTTTTTATTCCTACTATTGGGGTATGTGTGTGTGTATGTGTGTGTAATAAATTTGTGAGGTGACAGAGACTAAATTTACAAATTTGAACTTCTAATGACATTTGAAAGTCTTAAAGGTCATCCTCATAACAGTAAAATCATTCCACTAAAGTCAGAAACAATTTTAAAACATTTGGAGAAAGGGCCAAGTAATGTCATTAGTACATATTGGTCAGAGGCAAAGAGTGGAGGGGGGGGGGGTGTAAGGTATTTTATTATAATCTATAATCAATTGCAGCCTTTTCTTATTAGAAGCATTCAGAAATCATTAAAAAAAAATTGTCACCCGCAGGTGATGTTTTGACATTGCTACACATCTTACATTGTTTTCATAACGGATACCATGTGAAATCATTAAAACATCTTTGCTCAAAAAAAAAAAAAAAATATATATATATAATGATAGCTTATTCTCTGACAGCATAATTTACAAATGCATTACCTCTTTGGATTTTAAACCCTTTTGTGAAGTTTATGGAAAATATATCATTTCCCCATTCTGCAAATAAATAAAGACAATTAAGAGACTGGTCCAAAATCACTTGGTTCTTCACTTGGTATTTGGACTCAAAATCCAGAGAACTTTTCATTGAGCTTTATTTTGCCTTAGTTTGACCTTCGTGTGGTAGGAAGGACAGAAATGTCACCTCCCTCTAAAGAGACTAAAAATGCAATGGCAGAAATAGCAATGACCCTGATGAAGAAAAGGCTCCTGACAAAATTCTGACTAGTCTCTTGATATTTTAAAGGCACTGCTCGGAGTAAATGGAACTAAACCATACACAATTTTTAATTAACCTGTCAAAAAAAATGGAATCAGTTTGTTGAATCTGATTCTTTGAATATAAGGGTAAAAATGAGCTGAAGTTAATGCTAGACCATGGACTAGCATTAAAACATATTACATGGATACATGTACACCCACACATAGATATAAATATGTATTTTTCCCCAAGGGACTATTAACAAATCATTCGCCTTATCTTCAGTTATTTAAATGCATTGCAAAATAGCACAGACAAAAGAAAAATGAGTCAACCAATCCCCAGGAGTCTGATTTAATGACTGACTTAAGAGAGATAAGGAAAACAATAAATAATCACAAAAAAATGAATCTGTTTTTCTTAACCAAAAGGACCTATCTGCTAAGACTTATGTTTAGATCACTTTCACTTTCACATGTAAATTTTAGAAGCTCCGTACCCAGCTTTTATGTAATAGTTTAATCTTTCAGCAAGCACTTACAAGCCAATATACACTGTTCTGCTTCTGGGTTTAATGAGAAAATCTTCCACTCTGCCTCTGGGCCTCACCTTGTGAAGTCCGTCATTTCCATCATGATCATGCACATCTGCTTGGCCAGCACGATGATATCATTGCCGCTGTCATCCCATTTGGCCACCTCAGCATCCAGCTTGCTTTTCTCTTGGTGAAATATCTCCACCTGCTCCGCTATTTTTGCCTTCTCCTCCTGCGGTAGCTGCGCCATGATGGCCTGTGTGGGTTACAGAAAAGTGTGACTAATGGTGACCAAGGAAGTCCAGACAGTAGGTTGACTCTGCCTTCAGTTCACGGCAAAGCCTATGGGCTGTCCCTTCATTCTGAAAAGGACATTCCCTCCATCCCGGGGAAGGCAAAAGCACAGACTTCCGATGAGGTCCCCAAATTCCCCGTCCCCACTCCCCCACACAAAAAGATACAGCGATCCAAAGGTCCACGCACATTCACAGTAACAGAACTTCTCTGCCGTTCTGAGGACATATGTTTGTTCAAAAAGAATCTATTCTTGACAATTTTTATATTTGGTCTCATGAAACTTCTACCAGATAAAAGAATGTGCCTCTTTCAACACCGAAATCTGTTCTGAGAAGGGAAAAAAGAAAATAGGCCTTCTGTCACTGAAGAATTTTAAACACTATCAGAGCATTCGAGTGGGATGGGGTGGGGAGACTTTCCATGCATGTGTATAAAGGAGTCTATGGTTAGATGCCAAACAAAAATTCCCTACCCTGGGCATTTCAGGGATGGCACACCTATTTCCAGTCTTCCTCCACCACCTCTATGGAAATCCTGGTACGACCAAGGCTCCCTGTACAGTCTATGAGTGTGTAGACAGAGACAATGGGATGGGTTAAAATATAGGATTAGAAAGCAAAGGTTGATTTTCAATAGTTGCTTGGTAAGGGAATGTAGAAAAGGAAGAACTAGAGTCAGTTTTAATTTTTCATGGATTCTATTTTGCAAATTCACCTACTCTCTAAAATTGATTTACAAGCCCAAATCAATACTTGTGCCTTCAGTCTAACAGAGATGCCCAGAACTGCAAATCAAAATGAGGCACCTGATGTGTGTGATCCCAGGTGAGGTTGAGCAAGGGATTCTCTGTTTTCTTGTTTCAGCACTTATACAATAAACAAATGTTCCTTCTGGGGTATATTTAATGACACGTTTTCCACATCTTTGTACTTTTTGTTGATAATTTTGCTGTATAAATGGCCCCCAAGCATAGTGCATATTACTGCCAAGTGTCCCTAAGCACAAGAAGGTTGTGACATGTCCTGGCCGGGATGGCTCAATTTGTTGGAGTGTTGTCCTGTACACCAAAGGGTGATGGGTTTGATTCCTGGTCAGGGCACATGCCTATGTTGCAGACTCAATCCCCGGCTGGGGCGCAAGTGGGAGGCAACCATCGATGTTCCTCTCTCACATGAATGTCCCCCCTTCCTCTAAAATCAATCAATCAATAAAAAGAAGGTTGTGATGTGCCTTATGGAGAAAACCCATGTATTAGATGAGCCTCAATCAAGCTGAGTTATAGTGCTCTTGGATGTGTGAGTTCAGTGGAAGTGAATCAAAATGACAAAAACAGATACCTAAATAGAAACACTCATTAAACAAGATTATAGATGATTGATTGAAGAAAGTGTTGAGACTAGCAGCTCTCAGGAACCTAACCCTGATTTCCACTAGAAACAATAATTCAGTATTGCTAATTAAGTGTCTGTGGTAACTACAGAACATAAGTACCATGAATAAAGAGAATCAACTGTACTTGTTAAGTACTATTTTTTTTAATATCTTCTATTAATTTTTTAGAGAAAGTGTAAGGGAGAGAAACCTTGATTGGTTACCTCCGGCACACCTCCCATAGGGATCGAGCCTGCAACCCCAGCATGTGCCCTGAGAATCAAACCAGGACATCTCAGTCCATGGGAAAATGCTGAATCCACTGAGCCACACCAGCCAGGCTGTTTAGCACTATATGTAGCAGGCCTTCAGTGAACTGCTTGACATCAACTCAGTGCATCCTCACAGAAGCGTGCAACTTGCTTCATGGAAGGAGCGCATGAGTAATATTAGCCCTAGCCTCCCTCTGCCTCTAGGACTCATATTCCCAGAAAAGAGACCACGCAGGCATGACTTGAGGGACCTACAGCTTTTACAGAGGACAAGCAAAAAACAGGAACAACTGCCTCCTACACTGTGAAGCTCCTCTCGAGGTGAGTGAGTTGCTTGAAAGAGAGGTGGCCAATGCCTAATAGAAATGTCAGTGGACAATGTAAGCTCGGAAAAACTGGTCTCTACCAGGCTGTCACTGATTTGGGTTGACCTCATTGCTACTGGGTTTTAGCTTTAACACCTGCAGATATAATGTAAGAATAGTTAACAATTACCTCAAAATGTTATGGTGGACAGCAAACAAAAGGAATGTGTCAAGTGTTTCGTCTGACAAAAATGAAATTAAGCCTGTGTTGGATTGTTGTTAACTCTAGCTTATCATCATTTCTGATTCAGTTTTCCTTTCTAGCTACCCCTGTAACTTAGTACTTAGTGGCCATCAATGGGAAGGAATGAGCCCGAGTCTATATGACCACCTGTAAACAGAAGATTGACATGAAACCCAGACATACATAGTGGGTACTGTGCTGAAAAGTTTACACATGTCAAAAAACTTAATCTGCTTATAATCATTCTACCAGTTCAATTTTATTATTACCTCTATTGCATTAATGATGACACCAAGGCCAAGAGAAATTAATTCAGTTCCCCATATTACACAACTAATAAGCTGTAGAAATAAGATTCAAAACCAAATCAGCTAACACTGTGCTTAACCATTGTGCACAACTGAATCACCACCCATGACCATACAGGTTAGATACTGTGCAGTGATCCCAGCTCAATGAGACAAATGTCACTGAAATCACTAGCCTGATAAGCTGAGCATCTTATCGATGAGGGTTCATCTGCCCAGAGTAAGGGCTATCTTTGTCTTATTTGCATAAATGTGTCCTTGGACTAGCAGCTATCTGGATGCTACATCTCATTAATAGCCATGTTTAGTAACATTCATGCCTGCATGTATGTGACTTTATATAAATAATACATGTCCGAGTGTGTACATAATGCATGTTTATAGGCATGTATGTGTGCATAGACAAGTCAAAACTCATATTTAAAGAGTCAGACTGGCCTGGCTGGTGTGGCTCAGTGGTTGAGCATCAATCAATGCACCAAGAGGTCACTGGTTTGATTCCCAGTCAGGGCACATGCTCAGTTTGTGGGCCCAATCCCCAGTGGAGGCGGCCAATCAATCTTCTCTCTCATTAATGTTTCTATCTCTCTCTTCTTTCCTTTCCTCTCTCTCCAAAATCAAAAAAGAAAAAAAAAATTAAATAAATAAATAGACTGGTACAAATGCTATGGTAAAAGAATTTTAAAACACTACGTTTTGAAAAAGTACTTTCAAACACTGTATTTAAAACAATGTTATATATACACAGGAGTTCGTCATAAACCCATGTACACAATATGGTATTGATGACAAGACAGCTATTCCAGTGCATCTGAGATAGGTTTGCATGACCTAAAGCTGTCATAGATTAACTTGTCCCCCACATACAAAATCGACAATTATGTTTTATTTAGTCTCACAAGTTCCAATCATCATGATGAAAGCATTCACTAGGTAGTTCTCTGTAAAAGAATCTGTAAACCTTCCCTGCAGACCTCCAAACTCTACCTTCAATGTCCAGGTGCAAAGCAATGGGTCTTTTGTAACCCCAGAAGGGTTAATTTGTGTGTTGAGGGATATACACTACTCTCTGAAATATACCACTTGAGTTTCAACTGTACAATTTAGCATTTGAATTTTAGCTGCCTCGCTCTTCTAATGCTTATTAATGCCCTACCTGACTTCTCTCTCAGCTTCCTTAGGGTAGAGGCCTCAACATCCTCCACAGAATAGAAGCTCAATAAATATATTTTGATTGACTGCCTAAACATTTTCCCACTTACTGCATCAACACAGTCCCAGAGGACTTACCAGAACAGACATTTTCTGAGGGTACAATTCTGAAGGAAAACTGGTCCCTTCAAGGCAGATATGCAAAGGAAATGTTATTTTGACTCTCAGGGTGTTCAACCCGCATAATACACTTAATGTTGTGTGACTTGGATGCAAGTATCATCATAGAAGCTTCTGCACATGTAGTTATCAATGAGCCACAGCCTTTTCCTAAATATTTTTCTAAACGTTCTGGCTTTTAAAAATTCATAATTGACCTTTGCTAAAACTGCAATTTTAAAAAAAAGTTATCTATAAACAGTAGATCACAAACTACAAAATTTGCAAGTTATTTCAAATTGAAATTCAACATACCAGTTTTAATTAGGTCTTATCAATGTAACTCGGCAGTTTGAAATGTTAACACATTAATGCTATTCTGGCTAGAAAAAATAAATAGAGTCTGGTCACACTGAAATCAAATTGAATACAAAGTAATAACATGCAATTGTTCATTCCCTCAAAGTAAGGGAACATGAGAAAAATAATGTTCACGGCCAAGAGGAAAGGAAACAAATCAGCTTTTCTGTTTGTGTGATGTGATCACCTGGGGCCGGCGAAGAGTTTCTGCTGCTTCTGATCACAGTGGCCATGCAGAGTTCTCCAGACTGTGGAAGGGGCCTAAATCTGTGGCATCAGAAACTGGAATCCACAACGTGTCCAATCCGCTCATCTCAGGTTCCCAGATTTCCCTCTGAACTGACAACCATTTTTTGAGTGTGTGATTCATGTTATAAACTCCACTTACTAAATAAAAGTAAAATTCACTGATCTAAGCCAACAACTCCTCAGCCCGAATCTTTTCTTTAATCTAAATCTCAAGAAGCTTTTCATATAGTAATTTTTTTTTTTTTAATCTCAAAAAAAAAAAAAAAAAAAATTACTGTTGAAGTCTACGGTTCTCCAAAGTGACAAGTGTTGTTTCTTAAATGCAGAATAAGAGTCTAACATTAAAGCTTCATGCAAGGAGATGAATGTTTGTAAATAATGAGTAAAAAGGATAATACTCAATGTACCCATTTCTAGTCACAGTGAAAGCAGGATAATAACTATAAGTAGTTAAGGACTGGGACTTTTGACTTTTACCAGTCTCAGGCTATGACGTGAATTGAAAAATTGAAGCAATTGGCCCATTAATTCAAGTAAAATTTTTCATGACTGCCTACATTGTCCAGCTTTCAGGGTAAACTATTTGGCCAACTTGCTAAAGAATGACTGCCTCATGTTACAAGCATCATCGTCATCATCATCATCATCTTCCTCAAATTAATATTACATATATAAAAAGTATTGTGATACATTGTATCACGCAGTTCTAATGACATTACAAGGTAGGATGCTGTGTGTATGTATGTGCAAAAGGATGAGGCATGAAGAGATTAAGAAAGTAGCCCCAAATCATATAGCATAATCAAGCCCATATTTAAAACCAGGTTTGTGTGACTCTAAATAATATATTCTATCTCCAAGGTTGTTGACCAACTTTAGTTATAACAACTTGTAGAAAAAGATCTTATAAGACATCATGTCAAGGTCTAATCACTTATGTATTTCATTAGACCAGGGTATCATCACTCTCCTTCTTTTCACTAACTCCCTTTCCTAAAATGTTGTAGAGAAGCATCAGATAGGGACACACAAAGGAAACCAATACTCTTATTTCAGAATTTGAGAGGAAGGCTGGAGTGAGTACTAAAAGCTTTTTAACCACCTTGACCTCCTTTTAGATTAATTTAACATTTCAGAGAAGACTGTCTCAATGAGAACACAAAATAAGGTCATTAAAGGGGAGAACTGGTTCTGTCAAAAACAGCTTCTGCCTCCTTCACAATTTTGACCAAGTTAACACACTTCTCTAGTCAGTTCAACCAGCTGTCATCTTAGTGATTCAATGCACACTCTTATTTCCGACTTACAGCCTTAATTCTATGCCTCTGATTTGTCATCATCTAATTACAGGCTAAAGCAGACTGACTCAATAACTAATGCTATTTGCTGCAAAATAATCACACAGAGCCCATGATGGATCTCAAAGACCAATCAGCAAGTGCTGGGCTACCATGAGACTTGGTTCTTACTATCGTGGACCATGTTCAGAATTCATGATGAAAAATCTTTCAAAAAAGACGATTGTCTTTTCACCTGTTGGGGGAAGAAATAACTGATGGTGTAGCTAGGTGCCCTCTGGCTTTCGATTCCACCCACAACGGATTCGATGTCTAATGTAAGTGAGACGCATGACACAGAAGTACAATGGGACTTGGTTCTTCCTTGTAAAAAGTGGAACTGATCGTGCTATTTTGACAGATGGTGATTAGAGGAGTTGTACAATAAGCCTTGGTCTTTGAGAAAACAAGTCAATGGTTACTGGGCTGTATCAATACTGAGCTGCAATCAATCAAATTGACTTTGAATTGATTAAAGTTTGGATGAATTACTCAAACTTGCCCTTTGTCAACTGATGTAAAAATGCTGGTTTTACTTAATTTTGAAGACGAATGACTTGGTTGATGAATTAGTTCAGTGTTATGCCAACTAGGCTCAAAAGACTCTCAGCTAATTAGGTTCCCAGGTTTCAACATTTTGGGCAGGATTAAATAGAGTCCACAAGGAATTTTCAGTGAAGGGGTTTCCTACTGTTTTGTGTGCTTTTCTATTGTCACCAGCTTGTGATCAGAAGATATCACTCCTCCAAAGGATAGCATTTCAGACTCATCCTTTATTGAGCACTTAATGTATATCAGGTATATTATCCTCATTATTTTACAAACATTAAGTAATTAAAACCCTAAGATAATTGTAATAAGTTTATTATTCATATTTTAGAGATGATAGGATTGAAGCCCAGGGAAATTAAGCAACATATAACAAAGTTTGGTCCTCATTCTAACCTTTATCATTTAAAATTAAGTCTGTCTGAAATCAAAGCCAATGCATCGTTAATGTTCTGGATTTTACCCTCACATTTCCTCAATCAGTGTCCATCAATATCCTCTGGATTAGCTAATCGTTAGATGAGACTATCAGGACATAAAGCACAAAATAGAGTTTGGGTTTTATTAAAATTTTATGACTCATCACAGGCCTAATCTTCTTTGAAGCCTCTTTATTTTAACTTGTGGTTATTTCTCACTCTTCTTCCCAATTCCTAAGCCAGCATCAGCTTTCTGGAGTTTCCTAATCCCTATCCTAAATCATCACCTCTTTCTGAACATCATGCTTCCCACTGATTATACTTTCTTAAATTAAACCTAACAGAAAACTAGAATATTCATTGTCAGCCATATTATAACTTGATTGTTTTTACCCTATGAAAATGGAGGCTTTAAAGGGATGAGAATCTTGCCCAGCCAATGTGGCTCAGTGGTTAAGCATCGACTCATGCACCAAGAGGTCACCGGTTCGATTCCTGGTCAGGACAAATGCCCAGGTTGTGGGCCCAATCTCCAGTGGGGGGCATGCAGGAGGCAGCCAATCCATATTCTCTCTCATTATATTTCTATCTATCTCTCTCTCCCTCCTCTCTCTCTAAAATCAATAAAAAATATTTTTTAAAAGATATATTAAAAATAAAGGAAGGAAGGAAGGAAGGAAGGAAGGAAGGAAGGAAGGAAGGAAGGAAGGAAGGAAGGAAGGAAGGAAGGAAGGGAGAATCTCGCCCTCCTTTGCAATCCCAGGTATTTCATCTCCTGCCACCTGCCTGATTACCTGCCTCTAGCCTCAAGGAGATACAGCTGATCAGACTGGTCAGAGTCCACAATCCTCTTTGAAATACCTGTGCTGGTGGACAGTGTCACAAAATATTCAGGAGTGTTCAGATGTCAGCCAGAGCAGTCATCTTTCTTTGCTTTCTGCTCCATGCCTTAAAGTGGTATATTTCTGGTATGTCTCTATAATTTCTTTTGCTATCACATGGCAGACAGATATGGCCTACTGTCCTAGCCATAGGTCTTCAATCAAAATCAAAAAGTGTGGTCTTGCCCGGTTGGTATGGCTCAGTGGTTGAGCATCGACCCATGCACCAAGAGGTCACCAGTTCGATTCCTGGTCAGGGCACATGCCCAGGATGTGGGCCAGATCCCCAGTGAGGGGCATGCAGGAGGCTGTCAAATTGCTGTTCTCTCATCAATGTTTCTTTCTCTCTCTCTCTCTCTCTCTCTCTCTCTCTCTCTCTCTCTCTCTCTAAAAAGCAATGAAGAAAAAAAGTTTTTTTAAAACAAAAGGTGTGGTCTTCTTTACTAGAGACCCTAGGCCAGAGTATGAAGTACAGCCCATCAGTAACAAACAGCACTCTAATTCTCCATTTGTCATTGTCTCTTGTGTAATTCACAAGTTTGGAGACTTCAAGCAGAACATGGTGTCTGTGCCAATGGAAGATCTGCACATCCTGTTTCCCTGGCTGTTGGACCATCTAGTCATAATCCTCATCCCCAACAAGACCCACTCTACACATAAGTGTTTGCTGTGTTGTGGCTGCTATTTTTTGAGTGATGAAGAGAGAACCAAGTTAAAAGGAATCAGAAGCAGTGGTGGTTATTTCCACTGTGCAAAATGTGAGTCACTATAAACAACCCCCGGTGAGAGCACAGATTTTGGAGCCATAAATCTGGGGTTCCAAGTCTCTAAAAATTGGAAATTCCCTCAAACCAATTTGGTGAACATAGCTTCTGTGTAACAAACCAAATCCTCACCCTGGCTGGTGTGGCTCAGTTGGTTGGGCGTCATCTCATGCACTGAAAGGTCACCAGTTAAATTCCAGGTCAGGGCACATGCCCAGGTTACGGGCTTGATCCCTGATGGAGGGCATGCAGGAGGCAGCTAATCAATGTTTTACTCCCACATCAATGTTTGTCTCTCTCTCTCTCTCTTAAAAATCAATAAAAATATTTAAATAAATAATAAAACATCAAAGTCCTGGATATCCACTCACCCGTGCACTCTGTCCTGCGATGAGCTGGTCATCCTCAGTCTGAACACTTGTCCTGCTGCGCACGTCATAATCCTCCTGCTCAAAGTCAGAATCGTCCTCTAGTTCTTCTGGAGTCTAAAGATACAGAGGAAAGAGAACAACCATTATATTTTAAGTGGATAACCTCTACCCTCATCCATATACTTTGTCACTGCAAAAGCTAAGTAGAAAAGAGTTTGGAGGGGATTATCTGTATAGGGTTTAGCAGATACTGGCTAAAATGGAGCCAGAAAAATAAGGCTGCCCTAATGTATGTATGTATCTCTCTCTCTCTCTCTCTCTCTCTCTCTCTCTCTCTCTCTCTCTCTCCCTCTCTCTCTCTCTCTCTCAATGCTTTTTATTATTTCTTTCTGTAGATGTAGCAAGTCTAATTCTTCACATGACATGCTTCTTAAGGAAAAAAATATTTGTGTTATTTCCACCCATACAAATATATTCTAAGATAGAAATGCACCATCAACAACAAAGTTAAACCTATGCTTCTTCTGGAATGCCCTTTTTGCTCTATGTTAGCTCTCTTTTAGTCTCATTAAGCCCCAAAAGGATTGATCATTTCCAGACCAATGGCCAGAACTGATTAGAACTGATGAAATAACTGAAGTGGTCACTAAGCCATTTAGTATACATGTTACAACTTCAGACTCTAGAGTCAAGAATGCCTAAATATAAACCCCTATGTGACCATGGGAAAATGTTCTCCTAGCATTGCTTTCCAAGTCTGTGAATTGGTGTTGATAACAGTAGCTACTGGTGTTGATAACAGTAGCTTCATTGTCATGAAGATTAAGTAATGTACTCTGTGTAGATGTCTAGTATGTAACAAGCATCTTAAAAAGGTTTGCCATCACTACTGCTTGGGATTTGGGAACTAATTTATTCAAATGTTTTTTATAGTGAAGCCGTCCACTACTACCTACCCATTAAGGATGAAATAACTCTTTCATACATGTATCTCAGTACAGCACCATAAAACACACTTGGAGACTTCAAGCAGCACCATGATGCGTGTGCCAATTCAAGATCTAGGTAGTCTATGTCCCTTGGCTGTTGAACCATCTATTTGTAATACTGAATCCCAATAAAACCATTATATATGTATGTTTTTGCTTTGTTGGGGCAGCTGTTTCAAGTGATAGAGAGTTCTCCTGTCCACTTAAAGATGAGAAAACTAAGATTCTGAGAAGTGAAGCAACTTGCCCAAATGCCTCTGACCTAGCTAATAACAGAATTAGCATTTAAACCCAAACACCCAAATGTGTCTGACTCCAAACATGTTGTTCTTTATAAGTTTTTTTTTTCCACTTTACAAATCAGGCAAGAATGGGAGGTATGGAATGGCTTTAAAGTGAGTGGAGTTAGAGGAAAACCTGTCGGATATGTCAAGTGAGTGTTGGAGAAAAGATACCAATGAATCCATAAACCCAGAAATAAAAAACTCTCCCATCTTCAATGATAATAATAATAGGCAACGTGCATTAAGGGCTTTCTATGTGGCTACCACTGTTTTTTCTACATGCTTTACAGACGCTAACTCAGTTTTCTTAACAGTCCTACCATATAGACACGATTTCATTCATTTTCCAGATAATAAAACTGAGATGTGAGAGGTTGTACCTTTTTAAAAGGCTCTAAGTCCAGCCACTTGAAGCATGTAGTCTGAACTATCATACTCTGTTAATTCTAAGAGGATGGAGCCAGGAGGTAGAAGGATGCTGCATGAGGGGAAAGTGACGCAATGGTGTGAGATTTGTAGCTCAAGTGTGATTGGCTTTAAGGGTGACGTCACCCACAAACTGCCTCTTAGCACACACCTGCACCACCTCCCAGGGCTGTCTTTCAAAAGGGAGGAATGGCTAACAAGCAGTACTGATGATGCTTTTGCTCATTCCCCATCCACAAGGGCACATTTTTATTCTGCCGGATTGTTTTGACTACCTCAGTGTAATTAATCGGGGTTGGTTATTGATGAAGCCTTGAGATCGGTCAGACAAGCATAAAATGGGGTTCTCCATGCCAAAATCACATCATGCCTAGTAATTTTCCAAACTCTGGCGTACTCCTTTTGTTTCTCTCCTCTTGCCATCAACCTTAGTGATATTTACTGAGTCATCTAAAGATGTTCAATTTTCTTTCAGAGGAATAGTAAAAAAAAGAGGAAGAAGTTTTGTTCCCATACTTGATCAAATAAACCAGGAGTTGGGTGGTCAAAGTCTAGTTCTAGTAATGGGGTGCAGTTTCACTCCAAGTGACCAGGTAGATTGGTTCCCTTTAATATGTAGAAAGGGGGGGTGTCTTCATATTTATCCTGAGATCTTGAGCTATAAGCCTAAGAACAGAGACTATCTATCCTCTTCGGTCATCCTCAACCTTCTGGGATGTACTAAGCAACAGTTACAGCAAGCTGGTAAATTCTGCGGACAGATGAGATGACAAGATTGCACACACTTCTCATCGTGAGCTTTGGAAGGAGAGAGCAAAGTCGAATGGAAAACCTCACTCGACAGACAAAGGTGAATAGGAGAGTGCCTACAGCACTGTGTGCAAACACGTCGGTGATCTGCCAATTTAGCTGAGTCAGTGACCAACAGCCTGTCTGCAGAAGGCTAATGATGATGAGTCTCATTAAGTGACTGTGGCTTAGGAACTAAAACGAAGTTTAAAAATGAAGAAAGTAATGGCCTGGATGTGGACCCAGGAGAGCAAAATGTTTCTGTTTTCTCGACCACTCAAAAACTGTGTCTTTGGCAAGTCACTTAGACCGTTTCTTTCTCCTTACTCATAAAGTGAAGATAAAAATTGCTACTTGTCCTGCCTGCCTCGCATGAGTCTAGAATCAAATATATATAAAAATTCTTTGTAAATTATAAAAGGGAACTAAATAAGAGATAATTATTATGATTAATAAAATATACACCTAACAACAATAATAATGCTAATAGCATTAATTTCTACCATCCATTAGGGACAGGCATTCAGTTAAAGTATTTAATCCTTACAACAACCTACTAAAATAAATGGATCTCCATTTTATACATGTGTAAGCAGGCTCTAATTTGAGTCAACTTTCCAAGGTGTCACACCTAGCAAGCTGAGGGTTCCAGAACCCATGCTCTCAACCATCACAAATGCACCACGCAAATAAATGAAATTAAAATATTTTCTTGTGCCTTAACCATGCAGTAAACCCATCCAAGCCACCCTATAAATAGTTCTGTGCATGTGCATTTTGCTAATTGCATGTTTGTGTGTGTATGTATTAGAGTACATATGTATATGTATATTGTATATATACAGACACAGATATATACATGTATACACAGTGTATATACATACACACACACACACACACACACACACACGTTTCCTATTCATCCAGTTATTTTTGAATTACTATTTTTTAAAAGTATGAGTGTTATTTTTGGTTGGTCAAGGGCGCTTACAAATTAAAAGAGACGTGGAAAATAGTGGGGGTCTGCAATGGGTCCAGAGATAATCAGACTTGTATCATCAGATGATGTTATAGGGTAAAACAAATCAACAAAATTTGTAATTTATTGGCCTGGAGGCTGGACACTGGGGGTCAAGTCTCAGTTCTGCCCTATGTGCTCTCAGGGAAGTTTCTTTACAACAATCAAAAACCACTTTGAGCTATACTTGGATCCCCAGATCTACTATTATTTAATAATAGCAGATTATTGTGAAAGCAGGTCTTACCTGTAAAATGGCATAATTAAAGTATTTGGCCTCTAAAACCTCTCCCTTCTAAGAGTCTATGAGAGTGACTTGTGCCTAATGTGGAGGCCCAAGGAGCTCATCTGACTTGCCCATGATCGTACCACACATCAGTTACAGAACAGGATCATTCTTCCTGCCTCTGGTCCTCAATCAAACGCCCAATCTCCTGTACAGCAGCTTCTGTGAAGAAGCCAAATGAGAAAAGGCTGAAGGGTTTAGAGCTGTTTCTCAAGGACATGTGAAAAATGTATTGAGGACCATTTAAAGGAAAGGCTCAAATGTATATGAGTTTCATTGGGAGCAGAAAGATGAGGACATAGGTTGGCAACTATAATAGGAAAGTTTGGGTGATGGATGAAGAAAGATTTCCCAACAGAGCTCTATACCACTGGAATGGATTGGAAACTAGAAAACAGAATTAAAGATTTCCCAAAGCCAATATAGAACTGAATCTCCCTTGTCAGGACTGACTGGCCACTGGCATCTCTATTCTGTATTACCATTCTGGCTTCCTAACTTATCTTTTTCCTGCCCTTGCTCTATACCTTCTATTCTGACCACTATGGCCAGCGTGGTCCCTCTAAGATCTAAGTCAGGTCATATTATTGCCCTGCTCAGAACCCTGCAATGGCTCTCACCTCATTCATTGTGGTCCCCAGGCCACCGGTGCTGTTCCCTCTGCCTGGAACACACTTTCCTTAATACCTCGATGACTTGTTGTCTCGTTCTCCAAGTCTCTTCTCAAATGTTACCCAGTGGTCACCCTTCAAAACACCCACACCCATCCTGTACTCTACCTCCTTGACACTGTCTTGGTTTCCTCCATGGCACATTAATTGGCAAATTATATCAGTTTGTTTATTCTCTGTTTCCCACCAAAGGAATGTAAATTCTTAGAGGGTAAAGATTTTCCTCCTCTCTATATTTGGGGTACCTCCAACAGTGAAGCCTGTAGTAAGCATTCAAGAAATATTTGATACATGAATGACCAGGATCAAATGACCATTTTAAAAAAACAAAAAACATACCAAATTATTACTAATTAGTTAAGAAAACAAAACTAGGTTACCTTATGGGTTAACTTGATAATAGCAATCTGTAATCGATAGATCAATTTTGTCTCATAAGTTATTTCTATAGACTCTTCAACCCTTTATTTTCCAGCTATGAAAAATACTCAGACTCCAATCCCTGCGATTTTAATAATATTGATTTATTTAACAAGTTTTATTTGCATTAAATAATTGTATAAAGATAAACTTCATCCCAGCAGGATGAGAAAAGAAAACATTTCTTGGGAACCTACTAAAGTCCAGATCAATGCAAGTGCTTTATAATTGTGGTAATATCTGTCCCCATTTGCAGCTGAGGAAACCAAGCCACAGAGAAGGGAATTAGCATAACAACAATCCCAAAATATTAAGCAATAGGTTCCCAAACTTTATTGCTTCAAGCACTCTCATTGCCTCAGCAATTTTTCATGGTGACTTTAGGCTAAATACATAAATAACACCAAAACAACCCCACAAACCTAATAGTTCTGTTGATTAAGAAATTTTTAAAAATGGATTAAGTTAATTGGACCTACAACTTCAGGTCTGTTACATACTGTATGACTTCTCAAACCTTGGAATATAATTGAACATCCATTGTGCTTGCTTTTTATCCCTAACCCCCAGAAACTTTCTAAACTACCATACTGGAGTGATGAAGAAATTCCTGTGTGGCCAACAGATCACCCAGGACAAGCCTCAGCAAGAAACAAACAAAAAGAAACAATCTCCGGGAAGAGGAGCACAGTAGATCTCTCAGAGAAGGAAGTAGAGTCATGAATGGTGAGTTTGGAATGCAGGAAGGGTAAGCTTTGTTTACTTCAGAATATTGTCTTGGCTGGCCTGAGAGATCATCACTAGTAAATATGTATTGGTTGCTGAAAGCCACATATGGAGAAGTGTCCCTTCGATGCCTTCCTGCATTCGGTTTAATAGACACTGGGACAGGAGGAAGCATGGGCAGTTTTCCTGGGAAAGGAATACTCTACTCGTCTTGCTATCTTTCTTCCTGACCTCATGCAATGAAGTATTTTTCAAGTAGACTTAATCACTATACTCCAAAGCAAACCAAGAAATTAAGTACAAAGTGAAGCCATTTTGGGTGCTAAATGGAGGAGTTTAAAAATAATTTGGACATGCTGTACATTTTTTTTCTTTCTAAGTTTTACGGGGTGTGAAATCCATCTGATCAAATCACTTGAAATGTCGAGATGGAGGAATGGCACCGTGTAACAAAGATTTGACATTTTATCGAAAATTATGTTTGTTTTATACAGATCACGAATGAATAAATGAATGGTGGCTATACGTTTCTTCAGCCACAGATGAACGGTTGTCACAGAACTGTGAAGGCCAACAAAACAGAAAAATGGCAAAAGAGGGACTATATCTTAAGGATTCTAGTAGGATTTAGTGCCAAAGGCTTTGAAAACATAACTCTCATGGTGTAGTACTTTGTTTTACATGTTAGTATGTCATGAGAAAAACGATCTAATTTGTTACTGTCTTAAAAGGCTGACTATCCTTTCTTTCCTTCTCCTCCAATCTCCTACATTTTCTGTGCTACATTCTTATCTGCCTAGGTACCTGCCCCCGACCGCAGACCCAGCTTACACACAGTATCAAGCACTATGCAAGGCAGCACACCACAGGGAAGGGAACAGAAAAGGAGAGCCCATGCTTTCCAAATTCTCCCAGACTTAAGAAGGTAAGAGACCTACAAGGAAATAGCATAATAAATATGGTCACAAGCAAAACAGTTAGCGAGAGTTAAAGGACAGGGTCGGTATATTTGAGGGAGAAAATTTAGGGAAAGTTTTGAGCCAGGTCTTGAATGATGGTAAGGTAAAATTGCCTTATGACCTAGCAATTCCACTGGGAATTTATCCGAAGAAAACTGAAACATTAATTTGAAAGAATATATGCATCCCTATGTTCATTGCAACATTATTCACAGTAGCCAAGATTTGATAGCTGCCCAAGTGCCCATCAGTAGATGAGTGGATTAAAAAGCTATGGTACATTTACACGATGGAATACTACTTAGCTGTAAAAAAGAAAGAAATTTTACCTTTTGTGGCAGCATGAATGGACCTAGGAATGATTACGCTAAGTGAAACAAGCCAGTCAGAGAAAGACAAGTACCATATGATTTCACTTATATGTGGAATTTAATAAACAAAATAAACTAACAAAGTGGAGAGGGACTCACTGATACAGAGAACAGACTGACAGCTGTAGAGGCCAGTGCTGGGTGAGATGGGTGAATGGATTAAGCAAAGAAAAACAAACTCATGGACACAGATAACAGTATGGTGATTGCCAAAGGGCAAGGAGGGTGGGGGAGGTAGAAGAGGGTAAAGGAGGGATAAATGGTGATAGGAGGAGACTTGGGATGGTAAACATATAATACAATATACAGATAATGTATAGCAGAATTGTATACCTGGAACCTATATAACCTTATTAACCAATGTCACCTCAATAAATTCAATTAAAAAATAATAAAGCCAGACTGAAAATATAAAGAGAGAAGCAAACAAACGAAAATAATAAAGAAAAAGGAAAAAGAACGATGGTAAGGGTTTGCGAGATCCAAAATGGGCATGTTAGAAGAACAGGAAATGTATCCGACTCCAAATTCCAAACTTGAACTCTACATTGTTTAGTTAGTTTGATGCAACTTATACAATGCTCTGAATACTTTGAATTGATCATGGAATTCTAATTTTTAAGAGACACATTTAACATAAGAACAGGCAAGCTTACTTAAAGATGAAAAGACCAGAAGATGCTGTTTGTGCTCCCAAGTGACGAAGTTTGGTAGATGTTTCAAGAGAAGCATGGCTGTCAATAGAGAGGGGAGAGCCTTTCTGATGATTCCCCACCCCACCTGCTCAGGCCACCCTGGAAGAACCATGTTGTCCTCTAGATACCACAGTGGAAGAGGATGGACCACATATGACTTCAAAGTTACCAGAATTTGGGGGACAATTAATGCCACATATGAACTTCTCAAGGGTCCAGTGAGAATATATAACAGATACTTCAGGAAACATCGGAGGGACCACATACAGAAAATGAATTATTTGGTTATCATTTTGCAGTGTTAGAGAGGATGTTGGTTTAAATGCTCAGTGGTCATCCTGATAGAAAGGTGTTCAAAATGCACACAGCAGACACCTTGTGGTTTCATGGAACAGCCTCAGAGACAACCATAGAGACTGAGGGTGAGGATACAGTCAAGTATTACTTGTCCAATATGTTGGAGCTACTAAGCACTTCAAATATGGCTAGTGTCACACATTGAAATGATTAAGTTTTAGATATATTTAGCTGAATGGAATATATTACTAAAGTTAATTTCAACTGTTCCTTTTTTTGCTTTTTGAACGTGTCTACTAGAAAATTTAAAATTACAAATGTGGTTTACATTTTATTTCTATTGGCCAACATGTTCATTATTTCTGTTTTTGCATATTTGTTTATTTTAAGAAAGAATTCTGTGGCTTGAGTGTTTTAAAACTCCTATGCCAAACTGTTACTGAGGTAAGGAGAACAACTCTCATCTTACCATGGAGTATTTTGCAGCAGTTAAATGGAATAAGGTAACTGATGTGTCTTGATAGAGGCAAATGAAGGCACAATGTGTGCCAACAAAGACAGTTGCAAATGATACTTGTTTTAAAATCTGCTGTACAATAATGAGTCCATGAAACAGAGTATCTTCTTGTATTATTTATTAGTTATTGCATTATTTTCCATATGACCAACTCTAAACCTACTTTTACCCCACCCTGGATGTTCTCTAGCATGGGTCTTTATGTAATTACCTGGACAGTGGTTTGGAAGGCTCACACGACCTGACAATAGCAGGTGGAGGATGGGACAATTATAGGGTGAGTGACAGGGGAAAGTTTACTGAAAGGTCATATAGCTTTATTTACAATGTCTTAATTATTTGCTACTAGGAGCATGTAGCTATGTATTCCTTAATCCCTATCATCATTATTAATATTACTAGGCTAGGTAACCTTCATGCCTTTGCATCCCATGGCTTCATGGTCCTGCTGGGAAGATAATGTTAGCAAGAGGAACACATGGAGAATTGCATGAGCAGCCCTAGGTTGGAATCAAACTGAGGAAACAATGCATGCAAGAAGCAGGCTGACATCACTCTTTAGGACTTTCATCACTAACCTAGGCTGCTTGTGCTCATTCGTCCCTTTATGAGGAAAAAGTTACCAACGTCTGAGTAAATGAGCCAAACAACTTGCCAAGTTAAACTGAGTAATTAAAAAGCAAATGGTAAAGTCTCTGGAGTGCCTCTTTGAAGGACTGATGAGCTCTGAGCTACAGAGGACTTACGTACCCTGATCATCAGCACAGCTTTTCTGATGTCCCGAACGCCGTCGTACACCAGGCGCGAGGCATCGATGAACTCGTTCTCCTCAAACGGCTGAGGGACGTTGGCACTCAGGGCTTCAATGGCAACCTCTACTTGTTCAGCAAAGCGTGGCATCACTGGGGTAAACAAAATGAAAAGCAGCGCATCAGCCAATCTTCCTCGTGATCTTTTCTACTGGCCCTTGGGCAGGGTGGCAGGCTCTGGGCACTCCAACAGTTCAGTGGAGCCGCGTGTCCTCCCGTCCAGTTTGGGGTGAACCGATTTAGTGGTCTTTGTGCTACTTACTCACAACAGGGGAAGCAATTGTCACTCCATTGAGAGTGGTGGTGTTCTACAGAGCAAGCCTGCCCCAGCTGATGTGTTACAAGGTGTGGAAGCACAGATTTCATGATAGCCTGACCCAAGCTGAGTGTCCCTTCTGCTAGTTACTAGCTGTGAAACCTTGGCCAAGCTTTCTTAACTCTTCTAAACCTTTGTCTAAAAAATGTAACAACAAGCTCCTTCCTTAGGATTCAGTAGAATAATGCATATAAATGTACTAGATGCCCCCGGTCCTGTAACTAATTGCAGATGCTAAAGTCGTAACTGGTGAGTAGCAGACATTCACTTACATAATGTCATAGAAAAGTGTGAATGGAATAATCCAACCCTTTCTACTTTTTCCTGAAATGCAGGACTCCAGAGGTTGAAGGTGGGGGGCGGGGCATGGCTGTGGAAGGAGGCTTGTGGGAGGACTGTGTAAGAGGACAGGGAAATCCCAAGAGACTAGTGAGCTACAGATGAATTGATCATTCCATTTACCAGGACCACCGTGATGTGCAAGAAGATGAATCTGTACGTTTCCAAAATGCTGGCACCTCTTTCTTTGAACTAGGGCAACTACGTATACACCAGAAGTTTGTGGAAAGTAAACTCAGGGGATGCCTGGAATACTTATGAAAATGATGCTGATTCACTGATTCTCAAAAATTGTAATTCAATTTGCTCAGTTGTTATCTTGTAACAATCCATTCGTATGGCAAAAGAAAGCCAGGAGCACAGTTCATTTTATTTACAAGAACACTAATATAGAAACATAATTCATCTCTTTCCATTTCTGAACTTTCATGCCTGATTCGTCTTTATACTCATTTTCATCCTCGGTGGACATTTTAACATCCATTTTAATCCCTAGTGTGAGAACTCTGATGAATTACTTTACTTTCTAGGGTCAGAGATTCAAGATAGAACATTCCTAGAAAAATGTATTTCTACTAGGAAAAATCAAACTTTTTTTTTTTTTAAAGGAAGGTTAGAGGAAAACAGAATAATCATTCTTTCAATAGAAATCATCAAAACCAAAGCATGCACTAGATTCATTTTCTTCTGTGAGTTGGCATTTGGGCTTTTGAACTGCTTTCATATAAGAGAAATTTGGGGGATTTTGAACTGTATTGCCTCAAATATGAATCTAAGGAAAATATATTTCTTAAAACCACCACATTCAACTCAGGCCACTTCAACCATGCTTTAGTGCTGGGAACAAACTCATTCACAAAAGATAATCTAGATCATTGAAAATGACCTCCTTAAGCATGAAAACATTTTTTTGTAGGTATTTGCCATTTTCATGTGAATATTTTCCTTAAATTCTCTTCTTTCGTAAACTGAAAATTCTGAATATAATTCTATTTTATGTTTAAGCCATGATCATGACCATCAACAATTTTACATATTTATATGATGCCATCAGTAGCAATTAGCTGCATACATTTTTGTCCCTGTTGTATAACTGAGAAAGGATCAGTAATCCTACATGTACATGAGAAGAACACTCCAGCAAATCAATTAGGAAAAACAGTAGAAAACAAAGGTTTAGAAAAGGTGATTCAGAGTAAAAGATATCCTATATTATCAATAAACACACAATGAGATGCTTGACTTCACTAATAATTGAAAAAATTATAATGTAAATACAATGAGATATTATTATATACCTGTTGGGAGGGGGAAACAGATTGAAACCCAGTAATATTTATTTTGTTATCGCTTCTCGGCCTTTTGGCTAAGATCAAGTGTAGTATCTGTTCTTATCAGTTTAATATTTTGTTGAACATGTAGAGAAAAGGGGAGCCTTCTACTGTAGATGAAGTGAAAATAGGTACACACCCCTCTGGCAAACACTTTGACAAAATCTAGTAAAGCAACCTGGTCTTAATCAGTGGTCTGGGGCATTATCGAGAGCATAGACAAATATTGACTTATAAAGAGACACTGGTTAGGAGGGGCTGAGTACATTAGAGTCACGGGAAGGTCTTTGTGTCTCTGGTTACAGTTTCTTTTTCTCTATAGGTCGTATATTCTAAGAGTTAATAAGAGATGTAAAACCTGGGAATTGAAATAATGGAGAGTTCTTTCAACAGGCTCTATCCAAGCTCTATTCTGAGTCCCCGAACTCAGGAGGGAACCACTCTGAGCTGCTCACTCCAGGAAGTCCTCCTGGGTAGCTCAAAGTGGACTTTGGGATCAGGGGACAACCAATATACTAAAATAAGTCTAGAGGTCAAAGTTTCATCTGGACAAAGCAAACTGAAAGAGATATTATTTGTGAGAAATTGTAAAATATACAAAAGAGTGCTGTGTATAATCCAAGCAATATGCATTCTTATTATGCATGTTTTGAAAGGCTATATACCACCTTAACTATCACGGTTCCTTTTGAGAGGGAAAGGAGAGACATGGGATTAAGTAGAGATCTTAAAGAGGCCTCAAGTGCACCTTAACTTGAAAAAAATAATGGGAATCAGATATGGCAAAATGTTAATATGTGTTACACTCCTCAGGGTGAAAGGAGGCTGTTGGTTTTATTAGTTTCTGTTCCTCTTATACCTTTGAATCTTTCCACAATTCAAATATTTAAAAAGAGATCAACATATTATTTTCAATTGTACTTCTTACAGAATAAGGCTCTGAAAAAATAGTTTTAGCTCATGGCTCAGGACATAATAAAAATTAATTTGATAAGAGTATTAGGTGAGGAATTCCCTCAGAATTTGTGGCTGTGATCAAATGCTTAATGTTGAGCTGGAGTAGGTGCCAACTGGGAAGTTGAGTTAAGGAGCACCCCTCTGATAGACCTCAGTTCCCACACACCAATCCCCATTTGCATGAAGTCTTTTGTTAGAGTCTAAAAGGGTGAGCAGGGTTGTGTGTTACTTCAGGGTTTTTTCATGCAAGGTCACTCTAAGAAGAGTTGGGGAGGAGGAAAAGGCAGCAGGTGACATGTTGAAGGAAAGAAAGCTAAAACCCAAAGGGAGTATTTTCCGAAGGGAGGCTCTAGGACCCAAAACATACCCAGTACTTCTCTGAGAAGGGCATTCTATTGGCTCCAGCATGGAGTGCAGAATTTTAGGAGGATGTGAAAATTTAGGAGGACAAGGTCTTGGCACAAACGCAGTGTTGATGGTATGGCATTGTCAAAGTGGCAGAAACAAGGTCCTTTTATATAGAGAGGAACAGAAAAAAGCACCAGCCTTCCCAGGGGAATAATGGCAGAAAAAGGGATGAAAAGCCTTCCATTCCAGATGGGGGCTCAGGGTACAATTTAGTGTTAATAGTCCAATGGCCTTACTATATTCCACAAGCTGGTAAAACCTAGAACTCGAACTCAATTTAAGTAGATCTGATTTACTGTAACTGACAAGATATCTATTTTTCTAACAAGTCAGGGTTTTTCTGGACCTGACCCTTAAGAGAATATTTTCCTATGTTCATTTCCAAAGTACATTCAATACTTATTGAGGACTTGGTCAACTACTGATGCTTTTTAACCTACGTTACTATTGGCTTTCCACAGGGCTGTTCTCTGTTTTAGTTTTAGCTTTGTTTTTAAAAGTGTAAGACAGACAAACAAGAGTTTATAGAACAGCAATCCTTCTAAGATGTTCGTTCATAAATTCTTCTAACACTTCAGTAGGGTCTATAAAGTTAAACACCCCAAAAGTAACACCGAGATAGAAAAAGTCTCCAGCTACTTCAAGTTGAGGCTGATTCTGCTTGCCTCTAATTAGGACAAAACACAGCACACTGGCTTTGTGTTTCGCACATTATATATTAACAGAGTTTCTGATATAGGATTATATAAATAGAAGCTTCTTTCTACTTTCTGAATTACATCCAAAAAATTTAGACACCACTTTAGTGTTATTTATCAAAATCCTGGAGTGCTTTTAATAGCTTATGTCCTGAAAGGGTGATCAAAGTTAGAAATGATCTTTTAAACCCTTGCTACACTTTTGTAAGCAGAGTGCAGCCTAGGCCACAGAATGATGACATTCTAGGAGCAATGAAATCAGAGTTAAGTGTGCATATAAAAATCAAGGTCGTCTCATTCGAGTGTTGATTGAGATCCTAAACCAGAGGTGAAAAAGATCTGGACTGAATCCTCCTGAGAGACTTCAGAGGTGACGTTTCAGAGCATAGGGTGAGTCAATGAAATGAATAAAAACTTGTGCTGAAGATGCAAATCGGACAGCTGATGATCATAAGAGCAAAAACCAAGGTGAGCTAGAGGCCATGGAAATGAATGACAACCAAACCCACTGCCTCTGAGTGACTATCTGAAAGTTCCACACCCAGCTTTAAATTTCCAGTGATTTCCTTTAATAGAGGAGACTATGAATTCTTTTCATCAAGATACAAAAATCTGACACTCTCCTATAATTCCTGTCACTGTCTCTCCATCTATTCCTCCATATATTCAAATGTTACAATTAGACTGAATTACTCCTATGTCTTCTAATATGACATGGAGACATACCATGTTATAACATGTCCATGATCAATTTATTCTCTCATACTGAAATGTACTTCTTTCTCGTTGGCCCAGGTAAATTCCTCCTCAATCTTCAAAATCCAATTTAGAATTGACTACCATTGTGAATGAAGCCTTCCTTAATCCACAAACACTCCAAAGTTGACAGTTCTTTACAATTTAATAGCACCCTAATTATACATGCATTATTACAGTCCTTAGAACATTGGGATTGCTTGACATATCTGTACATCAACTGTTTCATGTAGGAGTCACTTCTAGGAAGAGATTAAGTCATCTTCATTCTTTGCATGTTAAGCCCGT